TTGGTCTGTTCAGTGGGTTAAGCAGAGGATCGCTAGCTACTGCCCCTCCTTTTTGTCAGAGAAAAAAGAAGAACAAAGTGCAAGGGAGAGTAGTTTATTTGACCTTTTGATCCCAATATATTTTACAATAAGCTTCCTCAGGGGATTTTAAGCAGCAACTTCTCTCTTATCTAAGGTGGGAGCCAGGGAAGTTTCTGCTTTAAGATCCCCTGGTGAAGCTTATCACAAAATGTGTTGGGATCTAAAAAGTCAAGTAAACTGCTCTCCCTTGCACCTTGTTCTTTCCCCCCCTTCCACCTACTGGTGCAGCCTTATTTCCTTCCCTCCTTATTGTCAATATTATCCACAAGAAATTAGGGGTCATTATTTTGAAGCATTACCACGTTGTCACCGATACACAGAGTTGTCAAAGCCCGCAACCGTCACTGAAGCTGGAAAGCACATGGTCCTTCAAGATCTCTGCCTCCCTAGTAATCATAACCTTTGTTTTGACAGGATTTAGTTTCAGTTTGTTTACACTCAGCCATATAACCACAGTGGAATGACAGGGGTGATGCTCCACGGCAGGGTGCATTCCTTCAGCTCAAGATGTTCCTGCTCATGCAATATTGGTTTCTTTCAATGAACAGAAAGTGGTTTAATGCCAGCGGAATGTGTTCTGCAGTAGAGAATCACTGCAACAATGGATGAAAGCAGCACAAATTGTATATGAGTCAAGCCAAAGGAAAAAAAGGAACCCGAGCACATAAGGGAGGGGAGTACATAAAGTACCCTGCTGAGATCCATCTTGGAAATGGCCACTGTGGGAACATGGAAGGGAAAGTGGCTGTCATGTGGGTTGTATTGGGAAAACAAGAACTTTCCACCCATATAGTAGACAGCCAGATTTTGTTTTGATGTTTCCCAAAATTTTGCATCACAGCAGATTTGGAAAAGATGGAAGAAAATCCAGAGAGACCCCAAGAAGCAGGAAGAATACTCACTTCTCAACAGGCAATTAATAACCAGGTATTATGAAGCTAAATAGAAGTTAATGAGCACAAATAGAAAGCTTTGTGCTAATTCACTTGACAAAAGGCCTTTGGGAACAAAGGGGCAAATTGCCCCAAGGAATGGGTTTCAGGCAGAAAGTACTGAAGTTTCTTCTGTAACATTGTGGTTTTTTAGAGTCATGTCATAAACTGACATCTGGATTATGTGAATCTCACAGGAAAAGGAGATTCACCAAATACAAGAACCAAAAGTATCAGTTCCACTAGGAAAGTCTCATCAAAGTTTTGAAATACTTAAGATGATTTCAAATGTGCTTTTTTATTCCAAAATGTGGTGTTAGCTATGTAGAAGTATCAGAAGGAGATACAAATGTCCTAGGTAGTGTCTTCATAGTAGCCAATAAAGTCTACAAAATATAATTGTTTCAATCCACTGTCTGGGGTCAGACCTCCCGCCCCCATACTTACCTCTGAGGAGACAGAGGCCTCTAGACCATGCCACTTCTCATAGCAGAAAAGGATCAGAATAAACAATGAAAACATCATTACATAATAAAAACAATTCACCATCATAACATTAAAATTAAAGAATAAAGACAATGGCAAAGATGTCAAGGCAGGAAATCAAAGCACCTTATAAAAGGCTAATGTAAGTTTCGGTCTCGTTTGGAAAGCTTGTAGCAAATAGCCAAAATGATTTCATGGGACAAGGTATTCTAGAACTCTGGTATTCTGAGCTACTAAGAAAGCTCAGCTGCACAGGGATGCCAATCAGGACTTCCTGTTGGATGGAACTTGAAAAAGAATTTCTCCAACTCTAAAATCAATGGGAGGTTGAAGAAGGAGGAGGAGGAGGAGACTGGATTTATACCCCACCCTTCACTCAGAGTCTCAGAGGGAGTCTCAGAATGGCTTACAAACTCCTTTCCCTTCCCCTCCCCACAGCAGACACCCTGTGAGGTAGGCAGAACCCAGATTTCCTTCACATATGTGTAGAACAACTTCATTCCATTTTAATTTTTTTCACATATGAAGTTGCCTTCTAGTGAGTCAGACCATTGTAAGCCAGTACTACTTTGACTGGCAGCAGTTGTCCAGGGTCTCAAGTAGAGGTCATTCACATCACCTACCACTTGATCTTTGTAGCTGGATTGAAATTGAGACCTTCTGTATGCAAAGCAGAGTAGAATCCTTGAGACCCAGGTCTGAATCCTTGCTCTGCCACGGAAGTTCACTAGATGACTTTGGGCCAGTCATTCTCTCAGCTTAACCTACCTTACAGTTATTTTTCTGAAGATAACATAGAAGAAGGAAGAACAATATCATCAGCTGCTTTGGGCCCACATGGGGAGGCAAGCATGGGATGGCTATCTAAATAAATACACTTTGGTTATATTAGTTATTTGATGAATTAAACAATTTATTGAGTCATTGTGACTCAATAAACCATTTAATTCATCAACTAATTCATTTAAATTCTGCCACTGAGTCGATGTTTTCCTTTCTGGTTCAGCATGGCTGGCTGGGAAGAAGATAGGGTTGCCAGCTCCAGTTTGGGAAATTCCTGGATATTTGAGGGGTGCAGCCTGGAGACGGTGGGGTTTGAGGAGGGGTGGGACCTCAAACAGATACAGTGCCATAGACTCCATCCTCCAAACCAGCCATTTCCTCCTGGGGAACCATTGATGCCAATTTCCAGGTGAGAACCAAGAGGGGGTCACAAGTATCCATGTGGAAATTATAACAAACAACAAACACTGTGACATGAATGACTAGGACATTTAGTAAAGATCATGTCATATAATGAATCAACTTTACAAAATAACAATAAGAATCCATCATACTCTCAATAAAACTTTTGATTATTTGATTATTTAATTTTTTAGAACTTACCAGTCCGATTTTCTTCTGGCAGAAAGCCTTCAATTTTGAATGTGGCTGGCAAAATGCTCTCTATATCACACTTAGGTTTAGCCTCTAATAATCTTATTAATATGCTATAGCTTTAAGAAAGAGACATCCAACACCCACTGCATGGAATCAATTAGAATAGTTTTCCTTATAGAGTCTGGGGTCCACCTTGTCGTAGAGAGCATTTTGCCAGCCACATTCAAAATTGAATGCTTTCTGCTAGAAGAAAATAGGACTGGTGCTACTACTATAAATATTTTTACAGTGTTTCATGGAGAGCATTTCAGCCAGCATAATATAGGAGTCTTGTGCACCTAATTAAAGAGACAAGACTAGCTTGCTCCTAATACTAACACTGAAATGGAACCTCAAGTTCTAAAAAATTAAAAAATGAAGCTAAGAATTTATAAATTAAGAATATAAAATAATAAGACTATTCCATTCAGCTGCATGTTTCTTTTCATTTAAAATACCATGGATTTTTTTCTAGGATAAAGTACAGAAAATAAAGAAGAGTTTAAGCAGTGGTTTGCTACTAACAGACATTGAACTGTATCAAGAGGCTGATACCTTGCTATACAATGGGATTACTCCTGAGGAAGATTGGAATGAAATGAGTTTAAATCCAGGTGCTCGTTGACTATGATGGACTTTCCTTGTAATTTTGTAAAGTTTTATGGCGAGTATGATGGATTTTTTCTTGTTATTTTGTAAAGTTGATTCATCATATGACATGATCTTTACTAGATGTTATAGTCATTCATGTCACAGTGTTTGTTGTTTGTTGTAACCTCCAAGAGGGCTGGAGATCACTCTGTAATTTGTGTCTAAGTTAAAAAGGAGCTGTGGTGGCTCAAGTGGTTAAAACGCTGAACTACAGGCTGTGGAAGGTCAGTAGTTCAATAGTTCAAGACCCGAGTTGCCGCATGACGGAGTGAGCTCCCGTCTCTAGTTCCAGCTCCTGCCAACCTAGCAGTTCGAAAGCAAGAAATTGCAACTAGATACATAGGTACCACTTCGGTGGGAAGGTAACAGTGCTCCGTGCGCCTTGGTGTTTAGTCATGCCGGCCACATGACCACGGAAATGTCTTCGGACAGCGCTGGCTCTTCGGCTTTGAAACGGAGATGAGCACTGCAACCCTAGAGTCGGACTCGACTGGCTTTCGAGCAAGGGAACCTTTACCTTTACCTTTAAATAGCGATTCTCCCGGACTACTCTTCATATAGTCAGATTTGTTAGAATGTTTTTACAAGCTATGATGATGATTGATCACTCTCAATGTTAAAAAAAGGTTTTATTATTCTTAAGCAAATTTTTACAAGCTGTATGTGACCTCCAACCCTTGGGTTTTTAGTGGGTTTTCTTTTCTTTTCCCTATAGTATGTAGATTCCCGCCCTAATTTCATTGTAGTTTTTAGTAAATGCAAATAAAAAATCCCCTACAGGGGCCATAAAAAACAAAAACAAAGAGAGGAGGGAATGTGTGTTAACAGAGTGAGCAAATTGTCCCTTGGCACCTTGGTGAGAGCTTAGCATCCATCACCATAAAGTAATGAAGTTGCCATTCTTGACTTTACTGTTGTGTGAAGTTTGCAGTGTGAGAAAAAGCAACAACAATTATTTCACAGCAGGAGTGGGCCTTGGCGTGTGCTACCCCCACACCCCTTAGGCCAGCACTGATCCTGAGAATTCTTAATTTGGGGGGATATCAGATAGTCATGAGCCCCCAGGCTGTGGGAGTCTCAAAGCTTCCTTGTCATGACTGAGAATCATGCTGGGAAAGAGAAAGATCCCTTTTATTTCATTGAAGGGTCCATTCAAGTAGCCCTTGATCTGACTAGGGTGCAGTATTCTGCTGTGACATATGCATGTCATCTAGGACACTAGAGTGTGTGCTGTTATCCCAAAACTATAACAGTGATGCCTTGCCAGTCACCTCTAGTCCTCAGGGGGAGCCACAGCCCCAGACTGTTCTTTTCCAGTCCCCCACCCCCAAAGCAGCCCCGATTGGCTGTTTAGGTGGAAGAATGGAGGGGAGTGCTGAATTCAGTCTCCCTTCTCTGCTTCCCTCATTAAACATGAAGTTGTTAGGCTCTTAGCTTAGATCTTTAATTGGAAAGTATGCATTACAGAATATATTTTCACTGAATCAGCAGCATTTGTCAAAAACATTTTGCATCACCATGAGGCACGAACTTCCACATATTTCTGCTTAGAACAGTGGTATTCAAGGTGTTACTTCTATTAATCTGTTCAGTTAGTTAAGGAGAGGATAGCTAGCTACTGTCCCTGCTCATTGTCAACATTTCCCACAAGATATTCTGGGTCATTAATTATTCTGAAGCATAACCACGTCGTCATGATACACAGAGTTGTCAAAGCCAGCAATGGTCACTTGCTGTCTACGTCTTTTCCTGTAAAAAACATAGCCTGCAATGCCAGCGGCGGTGACGATGAGGAGAACAAGAACAACTGCCATTGCAACCATGCCATGTGCTGATGGAGAAGAATCTTCTTGTTTTGCTGAGGGGAAAAATACAAAATGCACCATCACACATGTCATCATGCAGATCAGTGATTGCTACTGCGTCAAAACTGTGTCCGTCTGCCCTTTACAGATCACTGAAGGATGCTTTGTACCTGAGCACAGTGTGCAAGGAGTGCTCGCTTCGGCAGCACATATGCGAAAATTGGAAAGTGTGCAAGGAACTTACAAAAGCAAGGAAATGGTTACCTGGTTGAGGGAAAGAACCAACTACACAGATCAAGGATGGAGCCAGAACCGGGTTTGTACAGCAGCAACTCTAACACATCTTGTAGTGGAAACAGAATGTCCTTTCTAAGGAAAACTCTGACAACCCACTTCCTGAAATATTGCAGCAGACTGCTCCCCAAGCTTCATACATATTAAGCATTTAGACATCCTTGAGTTGTTTTTCCTTCATCAGAAATATAAGATATCCTTATTCTCTCCGTGTATGTGAAGGAGAATGCTCCTGCTATCATTTCTTGTCAGATTCTCTGAAGATGCTATGGATACATGAGACTTAGACCGATTTCCCACAAGCGCTGCTCCACGCTCGCTCTTCCTTTTTGCCCCGGTGGTACGTGTCAATTTCACACAAGCTGCTGCAGCTTCACATGATTTTCCCCGCGTCTACTCAATCTTCTTTTTTGAGGACTGAGTAGACGTGGATTTTGCAGCAGCTTGTGTGAAATTGACATGTACCATCGGGGCAAAAGGGAAGAGTGAGCGTGGAGCAGCGCTTGCGGGAAATCGGCCTTATGGAATGTTGTGGTAGAAGCAAAATCTGGTGCAAGTCATTTACGGATACCAGTGTGAATGAGCAAGACAATGACACAGTGGATCTGCAACACAGCCCGACTGGGCCGGCAAGGAGTAATTGGGATGTGAAGCTGCTAACGTTTGCCTGCCATAGGGTTCAGTTAAGGTTGCACAATATCCAAAGGGATTCTAATTGTGAAAATTTGAAGGCATGAGCAGCTTAGTGAGGGGATTCAGGAACACGGAGCTTGCTAGCATGTGGGGCCAGTGTCTGGAAAACCCTACTTGTGTGGGGGTCCTAGCTTTCACCAAGTGTTTTCACAAAGTGGGGTGAGGCCAGGTGGGGCTTTTGCCTCTTCTTTGGTTTCTTTACTTATATATTCTGGGCAGCAGTCAAACACACTAAATAGTCCACTTTCAATGCACTTTCCAACTGGATTTTGCCACTTCACACAGTAAAATCCAGTTGGAAAGTGCACTGAAAGTGGACTATTTAGTATGTGTGACCACAGCCCTAGTCTGTTGTGTGTGTTGTTCAGGGTTCAAGGACAATGATATCAGGATGGCTTCTCATCTGAAATACACTCATAGGGATAGATAACATCAGTGCCTAACATTTGGGATGGGTTCTTTTCATAAAGCAGTCTTACCTCCTCCATTGATTGAAGGTTCTTTAGTTGGCATAGCTTCAACAACTATAAAATGTTATAAAATGAAAACATAGTTATTTCTCCATATCGCAGCTAATATGAATGGATTTTAAATCAATTATTTTTAGTAGAGCAGGAAGGCATTTATTTATTTTATTTTTGGATTTATATCCCGCCCTCCCCGAAGGCTCCGGATACTTGTGGGCCCCCCCCGGTTCTAGTTAGTAAGAAGTTCTTCAAGTGAACCACACTAAGTGTGAGGGTGACTGTGAGGTGCTAAGCCTTTGCTCTGATGTCACAAGCCAGGAAGTCAAGCTTTTACATCCTACCCACAATACTAACTGCGTGGGATTGGCCTGTAGTAATAAAATGGCCTGGCATCTGAGAGGAGGAAAGTGACCCCCAGGAAACTAAATTTGGCTCTTGGACCTCCATCTGGTTTATCTGGTGCACTTTGTTCTGCAGTTTCTCCAGATAGTTCCTAATATGCTCCTATTATGCTTCCCAGATGGACACGTATCAAGGCAGTTAACCAGCTCAGACAATGAGTTTCTGTGGGAAAGAACTCCAACATGTGCTTTCAGATTGCTTCTAGAATTTCTTCAAAAAATAACACCCCAACCAAAGTTATTTACTTAGCAGAAAGTCCTCCTCCTCTTTTTAGTGGAGTGTATTTCCAGGTAAGTGTGCTCTGAATCACAGAATTTGCTTTTAGGTCTCCATACAAGAAGCTACATTCAAGTCCAGTAGCACTTTTAGAGGCAACAAAATTTTTGGAGTATAAGCTTTCATGAGTCAAACTTCCTTTCATCCAGAGTGGGGGTGAGGAAGAACATCAGTCTGGGTACTATTCAAACCACTTGCCAAGCCTATGGTATGACCAGCAGATGCAGTGCCCAGGCTGGATCTCACTGCCTTGCTGTGGGGTTGCCGAATCACTTGTTGCAAGCCAGCTCCTGCACCATCTTAAGCTACTAAACCAGTCATTCACCCAGCAAAGCCACCCCTCTCACAGGCATGCAATGATTGGGAAAGGGGTATCTGTATTTCTACAAGCAAGCAAGATGGCGACCGGGGTGGTAGCGTGGTGCTGAGCTCCCCCGGGATTCTTAGGATTCTTAGGATTCTTGTATTCCTGGTGCTGTTCTGTAAATGTCTGGATTGTGCTCTACAGCTGTGTCTCTGCATTATCGGGGTCTGATAGACTACGTTTGACTGCACCCACTGCCCATATCTAAACTCAGGTGACTTCACCATGGATGCCCCGGAGAGGAGGCTGTGGAGGAGGGACCTCCAGGTTGCCTACTGTGCCATATCAGTGCTGCTGTCTGATAAGCCATGTAGCTTGCCTGGGGTGGGGATGATTGGAATGTAAGGGTTACTGCAGCAAAGGGGAGCTGATCGAGTGATTGGCACGGCGGAGCTTTGTGACGACCCCGGTGGGAGAGAGGAGCACCGGCGAGGAGGAGAGCAGGAGAGGCTCGCAGTGATTTATGATAGCCTGCAACAGCTTGTTAACAGCCGAGCTACCGGTGCGGCGAACCTCGGCGTGGTGAGAGAACGACTGAGAGGCGTTGGGGGAAGCCCCGAGAGCACCGGGCTCGACGGAGCCTATACTAAAGGGGCCCAGGAGATAGCGCGGGGTACCTGAGGTGTGCTCGGGCCCTAGCGAAGTCCACGGGCCCAAGTCTGGGGAGCGCGGAGCTGGCGACGACACAGCAACATGCCGGGCAGTGAAGAGGGGCAGCTCGTTCCAAGACGATTGTGAGAGAACCGATGGGGTTGAGCTGGTTCCAACCTGGCAGTGAGAGAGCCGGGAGGGAGCCCCTGCTTCTCCAGCTGTTCCCGGCAGCTGTGTGGCGATTGTTCTTCCCGCGGGGCCCTGATCTCCTCCAGGAGCTCATTCCACCAGGTAGGGGCCACCACCGAAAAGGCCCTAGCCCTAGTGACAGCTAGCCTGGTCTCCCTCAGGCCAGGGAGGATCAACCGATTTTGAGACCCAGACCATAGCGCTCTATGGGGTATATATGGGGAAAGGCGGTACTGTAGGTATGTTGGACCCTGGACATAAAGGGCTTTAAAGG